ATATATATATATATATATGCACGTTCAGTGGCAAGGTGAAGGAGCCGAGCATAGGGGCTCAGAGCCCCGAGGTTTTGGTCGTCCTGCGTCTCTTGTCCATTCTTCGAGGTCCTCCCTCTCTTACCACGACGCCCCAGGGTTCCACGAGAAATTGGTACCGGGTCAACAGTGCTGACGTGTCCAGGTTATATCGTTCATATTATTTTTATAATCATATAAAAAATTCAGTACCACACTTTATTTGTGGTCTCACATAATAATGCTTTCGGTCGTGTTAGTGATTAAAAAAATATAAATGCGCCCACCGTGGGGCTCGAACCCACGACCACAAGGTTAAGAGCCTTGCGCTCTACCAACTGAGCTAGACGGGCTTGTTGTTGATATTGCATTACTAACAAAATAAGAATCTTTAAAGTTTTTGTGCAAGTCAACAGTATTTTTCTTTGCAGTACGGCATTTCATAGTACAAATTCTATTACCATCGAATTGCATCTCATGGAAATGTTTGGAAATTTGCATCTTTGTTCTCCTTTGGTACAGCGCAAACTAAACTAAGCATATGCATATGATAATTATTTGCTACAAATCAGAACAATTTCTCCATACATATATTTTGGACGAAAATCATTTCCAACAAATACATTCGAGCCATTCAGTGCGTTAACATTTTTCATCACATGTCAAATGAAAATGGTCTCCGTAGTAAATAAATATAACAAAAAAAAAAAAAAATCAGGCTTTGACGCAGCAGTTGAAGCAGCTGAAAATGCTTCTCCTCGTCTGTTCATCAAGGATCACACCAAAAATTAATCAGCCAATTAAAACCCTAAGCACTTCCCTAACACAGCTTCATCACCACAGGAATCATATAACGATGAACTAAACAGTGGGCATCAGACATCGAATCTGTTACTTCCTTGTTGGGTTTTAGCTTTTGTCTGATTTATTTTCGGACCAAATATATAAATTCAGACAAAACCAAAGTAAAAAAGAGGAACTTACGGACGGAGAGTGCGGATGGTGGGTCGGACCGAAGTCATGGCGATTGTCGCCGCTGTGAACAGTGGTCAGCGTAGGGGCGGAGGAGGCTGGTTTGGGGTTGATGAGCTCGTCCTCGTTGCCGAGACTGGCTCGAGAAGGATCTCGCTTGTTCTGCTTCCTCATCTCCCTGATCTTGGAGAAGTCCATCGAATAGTCCGGAAGCGCTCCCTTCTGGTCCCAGTCTCCGAACTGCGGCACCGATAACCACGGAGCAGATGCATTCTTCTGCAAAACCCACAAGGAATCCACCATCCTAAGGATCTTGATCTTTATCACGATTTCCCATCACACACACAATTTCGATATATATATATATATATATATATATATATATTACCATGTATGAATGTATTTGCAGTGGACAAACTTGAAATAAAGAGTGTTACAAAGTTGGATTAACAGAAGGAATAAAGGATCACTTGAGAGGAAAAGGGCACAGTTCTTGATATTTTTTTTAAAAAAAAAGTGAACTTTTTTGGGAAGAAGGGGAAAACAAATGTTGGAAAAAGCAGGGGTTTCATCGGTCCGATAAAGCAAACGAGTTTGGAAATGTCCGAGAGGAATCTCTACTCTCTATGTGGCAGAAAATTTTCAGGCTTCGAGATTGAAGAAAGGAGGACGATTTTTTTGATCATTTCCCAAGGTTTTTCCTGTTTCCCCAGATGCTGATTTTCATCGATCGTCACACACAACGATCACCAAAATCTTTCGTAATCCGAAGATTTTTACGCCCGAGTTGGATTTCACCCACAAATCGGAGAACTTCTCGGCAACCAAAAACAAGAGATCTCAGACTAATGGCAAGAGCTAGAAAACACAAGCGATGGATAAAGTTAATGTCTTTTTTCAGTAGAAGAGAAGAGAGCTTCATCATCATCATACATCTTGTCGCCAAACAGTATCCGTAGTTCAGGAACTTCCATAGACCAATAATGACCACAAGGCCCCTGTTTGGTTCCCGAGAAAATCCGGTCGGAAACAGGAAGGAAAAAAAAACAAGCAGAGAAGGAAACCTCACAGATCAACCCCTTTTTCCGATTCCTTCGGCTCTTTCAAACAAGAAAGGCCGGCTTGAATTTAGAATCCTCTATCCCTCCCTCCTAAGAAATTTTCTCGGGAAACAAACAGCACAAGAAGGAGAGACAAGACATGGGTTTGAGAGATCATACCTCCTTATGGTCTTCCATCTGTTCGAATCCGCAGAGATCAATTCACAGAGAGGCAGGCTTTGAGTTTTTTTTTTTTTTTTTTTTTTTTTTTCCTTGCCGGTGAGCCCCGGAATGATAGATATATAAATGGTTTTCTTATAAAATAAAAAGACTTATATTATTACAGCAAAATGACAGCTCGATGGGTGGTGTTACATATCATCAAGTATTTTTTTTATTTCAAATTTTCAAACCCAGAAAAAAAAAATACAAATACGTATATACATGTATGGTCGGTAGACCTCAATATTAATGCTAGTAAATTACAACAAAGACCTAACTCCAGGAAGTTAATTACGGGAATGCCATCAGAAGACACGCTTTGTCACGTGTCTTCATAATCAATCAAGTGGACACCGTGGCTCCGCTTTCGTCTTTTACCCTTTCGGTTGTATCATACACAAAAAAGGATCTGACGTGAGACGCGAACTTTCGGCTTTATAAACGGCATCGTTTTCATGCTTTTCATAACGTGTCTGATTGTGTATGTACACATACATGTACATACATACACGTGTACTTGCCTCCCATATTTAATTATGTATTTCAATTTTCTACCTTATACGTAATTTCTCGGGATTATAACTGCAGACCGAGTATCCAATGAATGTTTACTCTTTGTCGGAAATATTTAAAAAAAAAACAGAAATTTTTATGACAAGATAAGCTGAATTACTATATACTTTATGTTAGATTCAGAAACATTGTAGACATAACAATTCTATAAAATAATTTATGGGATTATTATAACTAAATTAGTAAAAAAATATTCCTGATAAACAAAATATAGATATAGGGATGAACTTGGATGCCGATACAATCTACATTATTATTACATTTCATGCAAAAAAGATTTTTTTTTTTAAATTTTTATAACAAAAATAGAGCCTCGAATAATTTATGGAATATGGTTTGAAGGTCAGTATTGAATTTATATCTAATGTATATTACAGAGAATAAAAATTGGCGAAATTGGTTAAATTTTTTCTTGAAATATTGTAGTTACAAGGGATACGAATTTATTCGACATAAAATAATAATTTATACACATGCGCTATGTACTTAAAGACATCTGGGATATGTATTAATCAAAAGAAATATACTGTAATCTGAATTATTTCTGACAAACTGGAAATTATAATAATCGAGGGTTTATGGGTCCACCACAGTTAGTACCTTAATACAAATTCAAAGCGCGATTAATGGAATTTCCATGGATTTATCATTAATCTTTTGTCGACATCTCGATGTTCCATTCCAAGTGACCCTCTCATTGTCACAAAAATAAATTAATTACTTATTATTTGGTCAACCGAATAAATTAATTAAGGATCGAATGGATAGAATTTTCAAAGTTCTATAATAAAAAAAAACAAAAAAAATGATAAGATTTTGTAGATTTGATTTTTCTAAAAACTCAGAAAATTACTCTAATAAAAAATCAACTAAAAACTAAAATTTCTATTTTTTATTTATGAAAACTATAAAAAATTAAAACAAAAAAATTAAAATTAAAATTAAAAAACCGAAATTTAAAATAAAAACTATCACCGGTTTACCATACGGTTATTCAGTCGTCGGCCCATTTTATTTGAACAAGCCCAGGCCCGTCAGACCAAGTCTCAGACGTAGGCCTAAGGTCAGACCAAATCTCAGGCCCACGCACATAGATGAGCCGAACTTAGGCATCTGGATGGGCCAATCATAGGCCCATATCAGCACTTTGTCCATGCCCGAGCCCAGTAGATAGAGATCCGCTAATCATGTTCTTCGTATCACGGTTAATGCAAATATGACAGAGAAGCAGGAAACAATGATGGCTTTAACTGTTGTAACAACGAAACACAAGAGAAACAAACAAAGTGCCATTTTTTTGGTTTTTTTAATAATAGCATCAGGAAGAGGAACGAGAAGAGGCAGAGAGCCGAAGACACTCACTCTGGCACCTTCGGAGACAAATGTCGTTCCAGTTAGCAACTTGATGATGGTTGACACATACGGTTCGAGCGCAGGCATCGGAACATGCATCCAACTCAGACACTCCGCACACAGTTACGCATGTGTCTGGAATCGGATCCTTTGAGAAAGCTCCTACCTTTTTCAGCATCCTTTTCGATATACATACTCTCTCGCACACGAATATCTCGTCGGAACTCTTCTCTCTTCCTCTTACGCTATTGATCCTCTGCTCTGCCGCCCGCCTTCTCTTCGTTCTGATCGCTTGACCTGCGATAATCGCAGGCACAGCTGCTCCTAGAAGCGACCACCACACTTCCACCATTATACCTCGGATGTGCCAGCAAAGACTCGAACTTTCTCTGCTCACGAGGAAAATCCATGACCACATTACACAATTAGGACAACAAGAAAGCATGAGGTAAGTAGATTACAAACTCATCCCATGGAAGGGGTTATCGGGTTTCCACTACAACTGAAGATGGAACCATGAAAAATGGGAAATGGTGAAAACGAAACAGATAGAGGACAAGATTTAAGCCGCCCAAATGGCAATGAGCATATTATTATACACTGTATCTGGAAATCACGGCACTAAATCTCAAACTCAAAGGGTTCCACGTATTCAGGAGGGGGGTTTTCAAGTCCATATGCAGAGTCTATAGTGACACAGCTAACAACAAATACCTCGGGAACCATGGTAGAGAAGGTGGTGAGAACCCACAAACCCAACTAGGGACAAAGCGACATCTCTTACTAAGGTTTCTCATAGGATGTCGAATTCTTAAAAAGCTAAAAAGTGAAGTGACAATAAAAAAAAAAGGCTTTAATCCTGCAAGAAATTGCTCTCTCCGAATCGGATAAGCCGAACTCGTTGATACGCTGGTGCATACCAAGTGCCCAAATAGGGTTAGATTGAATCATACGGCTTATAATGGGTACAGAGAACTCATAAGCTCAGAAGGACTTCCATGAATATAAACAAATTCTCAACTTGCAATGGCGTTAGGGTTTTTGCAGAGAGAGAGAGAGAGGAGATGACCTGAAAAGGGAATTAGGGTTTGCGATTGCTGTAGAAATCCAGGGTGGAAATCGCTAAGAAGGAAGCGAGTATTCCATGAAAATCGAACTTGAGTTGCTCGACGAAGATTGAGAGTGACGAACGAACAGGTCACTGACCGTCGTTTGACGACATTTTATTGCAGACTTCTTTTCCGCTTATTATCCTCCGTGTCCAATAAAAATCGTTCGTTCCCTTTTACATTTTTTCCCGCAAATTATCAACTTTATTTTTACAATTCCAAGTTTTAATTTTTTGTTGTTGTTTCCAGACAGAAAGGGTTGGAGACAGTATCCATCATTACATGACAAAAGAGCATAAAAGAATTGCTGCTACATGAACCCGACAATGTACAATCCATTGACTGATACATATATTCCAATTCCATCCTTCCATATCAAACTTTGGCAAAAAAGACAGAACCGATACGACTTAACAAGAAGACAGCGAAAATGCCGCAGCGACACATACCATTGCCCTCGCCGAGACTCGGAATTTTCTATAGATGTGCATCGAGAAGAAAAATGCTTTGGATATTTTGACTGTTTCAGACGTTAATGTCCATTCGCTTCGACCTGGCACTCCTATTGTTGGTCTCGTTAGCGCTGGTAAGAGAAAATCTCGGGATGGAAGCGTAGTCGTTTTCGGGTGTAGAAACAGGTTGCTGAGGATAGAGAGTGGGAGGCGGGATGAGGTTCCGCTGTGCTGGAAGTGGCGGTAGCATGTTGTACTTGTACGGATCCCCCTTTAAGCTGGCAATGGCAATTGGAACAAACCCACATCTTATATTACCCCCCCACCCGAAAAAGAGCGTAGAACACTGGGTAGAGATCAAATAAATACCTTGGCCTTTTGTAAAACTGATCTTCGTCGCTTGTGCTGTCATCTAAGCGCTGGGAAGGGGCTGTTGGAATTGGGGATATTGACCAGGTTGAAGTTGCCGGTAATTCATCGGAGAAGTATCTTCTTCTTATCAACTGCAAACGAGAAAATGTTTATGGCGTTGAGACAGGGTATAAGCTCAGAGATGAAGATAAGCTGACAACAGAAGCTTCAATGGTACAAACCAGGCGGAAAAATTTGTTCAGAGCTTCTTTGTCGTATCTAGCTTCCTTCGCAGCCTGCATAAGGGCAATATCAGATTATATTTCCATGCCACGTTCTATATTGCAATGAATTAAACTAGTTCTTTCATTCACCAGACAAAAGAGATAGTGTTCTCAGTCATGCTTGCTTACCGCTATGGGACCACCATTGCCGGGAAAGCTCTCAGTGAGAGGGAGTTCCTCACTTGAGGGAAGCAAGCCTTGCTTCTCAACCCACTGACGAGCTGCATCAACAAGATTGCCGCTGCTTCCTCTTGTGCCTTCTTTTGCAGCGACATCCGCTTTGTTACCAACGACGATGTAAGGGACAGGAAGGCCACCAGGCCCTCCAGAAGGAAGAGGAGCAGAAAATGTTCCAGTTGCTGCAACCTCCGCTGCCCATTTCTGCAAGCTTGTTTTTGTTCTTCTCTGGGAAAGATCATGAACAAAGATAACTCCTGCCCAATTTAATTTCTTATCCATGAACTTTGTGATACATGAATAGAGAGACAAACACGCTTTGTGATATAACATTATTTGAGAGTTGAGACAGGATGAAGAAGAGCAGGGAGAAGCTAGCACAGACCATTAATCTGTGAATAGAAAAGAGAGCGGCAGTCTTTGTATCTCTCGTGCCCAGATACATCCCAGAGTTCGACAAAGAAATCCCTCCCAGAGTCACCTTTTATGGTACTTGAAGAACTAGCAGGACTTCCACAAGTAATGTGCTGAATGAAAAGTGAGAAAGCAGGAAAGTGAGGAGCTGTACTCCAGCTCTTACCGATTTTGAGAAATCTTGAGAAGACTTAGTTACCTTGATCCCAACTGTACATCCGATTGTCTGAGAAGGGCGAGCAATAGAGGAACCTTTGACAATGAGATGTACAAGAGATGATTTTCCAACACCTAGCAAATGATGCAGATTCCAGAGAAGAAATCTCGAATAAGTCAGTACCGATCTCAGTAAATTAAAAGCATCACATACTCGGAAAACGAAGGAAATGTTGCTGGATCTAACAGACGGAAACATAACACCATTCACGTTAAAATCATCTGCCCACCATGCCATGTTAGCTAGATGGCTCATGTTAACCTCAGGACTCAGGAGCCTCATTATATGATAGTGAATCCTTACTTTTGAGGTAGAACAACAACCATCTAGCCAAGCAAACTTTACTTTCTGATCTCACTACATCAGCAAATCTAGTTAAGAACAATCACAATTCACAGATCCTCTTCACAGTTCACATCTATCACCACAGTCAATCTGATTTTTCTTGACACACACATGATCTGTTAGAGAGCTAGCATAACTGGTATTGATTGAAGTGTTGTCATGGTCGACACCAGCTTCCTACGAATCTAACACATGGATTACAGCATAATCTGCGTCAGAAATCAAACGAGAATCTGATATTACCTGAGTCACCGACCACCAATACGCGAACTTGCCCGCACAGCAGACCCACATTCTGCTCCTTGCTTACGCTTTCGCGTTCCCTCCAAAACATCATGTTGCTCACAATAGCAAAATCAGATTAGTAGAAGAGACGTCAATGCTGGTCATTCATCTTCCATCGTCCTGCTCCAATCAGAAAGGAAATAGCAATTTCCAGAAACAATCATAGCAAGCTCCGATTCCTTTATCAAGCTTTACACTGAACCACTTGCACTATTCATCCACCGTGACTTTACTGGAGTAACCGACCAGGAAATCGAGCATAACTCGATTCCATATACAGATCCAACAAAAAGAACCTCCGGCTCAGATTCTTCACCTCCCTCGCCAGATAAATCTCTAGAACATAAACCGAAATTAACACTGAAGTTTCCAGAAGTGATCAAGTAAACCGAAATCCAAAACAGAATCCCCAGAAAACTTCAGCTCGGACTCTTCTTCTTGTTCCTTCACCTTCTCGACGTTCTTCTCCTCTATTAATACAGAAAACAATTCGGAGAACACCCTTTGAGTAATTGGATGAAAAAAGCACGAGTAAACTAAAGGATTTTGAGATGAGGAGATTGCAAGTGAATCTGGATCGAGATTAGGGCTCGAGAATCATTTCTTTTGCTGAGATTTGGGCGGAAGAAGAACAGTTCCCTTTCCTTCACAAATCGTCAAAGGTCTGGGAACGGTTCGGTACTCTGTAACCGAACCGAGATTTATAAAACAAGGATAAAGTACCAAACCGGACCAAATCCCTTAACAATTGGGCTTTTTGATAAGCCCGTATTGAAATGGGCCCATATTCGAGGTTTTGGGCCCAAACCATCCTTGAAGCGAATTTATTATGAGCCAAGGATTCGGTAAGTGTCCTCGTCTGATATATCGTGGGGGCATTATCAAAAATACCCTTAAAATGCTACTTCTACCTCAAGACTTACCCTGGTCACATGTGACCAATGTGACCGAAATATAATATGGTCACATTTTGATTTTTATCGATTATAACGTTAAATTTATGGTGATCACACTAATTCATTATGTTCATACCTTGTATATCTTACTAATCATTTGATTAAAACATCATAAATTTAATGTTTTATGAACAATGAGATCAATATGTGACCACACTATATTTCGGTCACATTGGTCACATAGTCACAAGGTAGGTGTTGAAGTTGAAGTAGCATTTTAAGGGTATTTTTGATATAATGCCTCTTGACGGAGAGAGAACAGAGAGAGAGAGAGAGTTAACATTTTTTGTTTTTGTTTTTTTATACCTTCTTATTCAAGAAAAAAAGGCGGACCATGATTGATTGCAGTGCACGGTACCATTCCATCATCAAATATTATTTGTTTTCTCCGTCAAATCGTTATAAGGATCGGTTTCTTGGCATACACGCAAACCCAATACGCGTATACGCCAAAAAGACACCAGGGTCCCCCGTGATACACGCGTTTTTAGAAAAGAGAGGAAAAAAAAAGGATTACCACATTTCTCGCCGTCACTAATGGCAGCAATTAACCGCTAATTATATTACGATGATATGCATATTGATCCTTCTGTGTGCAATGCAAATGTGTATCGTAGTCGGAATCTGCACAACTCTGTCTGTGTGTGTGTGTGTGTGTGTATCAACGGATAATACAAATTAACGAGGTCCTGCACCGATTAAGCAATGGCTGAATCTATAGAATGGTTGTCCGAAAACCCTAAAACGAAACCCTACGATCTGTCAGTGGAGTACACTACACGTACGCTAAGACCCTTGTTCGCATACACGACCCTGAGAGGTCTCGTCTCCATGTAAATGCTCTGAATCGTACGGTACTTCTTTAGCTTGTTCTTCCCCTCCGGCCCTGGTTTCATAGCTTTCCTCCCGCCTTCAGGATCGATATGACCGTTCCAGAAGATGTCATTGATCTTCCTGGAAGTGATCTCTTCAAGGGTACCAGCATGTTCATTGTTCTTGCTGCTGCAGCTGAGACTGAGATTCTCTTCGTCGCTGCTGAGATGAATCAGCTGTTGGGCAGCCTCCATCTCCATCTCCGATATCTTCATCTCTTCTCCATTCGCAGTCGATATTCCATTTGGATCGTCTTCCCTTGTTCGCTTCATCGCCATTAATGACTCTCTCTCTCTCTCTCCTGTCTATGCGATCTCTGTGGTGGTGTTATGTCTGCTAGGGTTTCTGTTCTTGTTCTTGTTCTTGTTTTTGTTTATGTTTTTTGTGGGGGTTTGGTTTGGGTTTGTTATGTATATGTCTTTGAGGGCACGTATTGAAAGGCTATGGGGAAATTGCGAGGTTGGTGCTACGAAGACCCTTCATCATCTTCCCGTCTGTATTAATCCCTGCGACAGAAATCCTAGGAATTTGCATTAGTACCCCTCGCCTTTTCGTCTTGTACATAATGATCAGTTATTTTTAAAAATAAAAATTTAGGCCACAGGGCGCCGATGCAAATTGAAATTCTATAAATGGTTAGTTATAATTAGTAAAATGTAATATCCAATTTCCATCTTCGAGGCTTCGGAAAACTTCTTTCGTAGATAATTTTTAATGCATTTTAAGGAATCAACAATTAAGAACCATTTGAACTGTTATAAAAAATGGCCAGAAGAATTAATAGAACAAGTTGGACATTTTGTTAGAATTTACATATATATATTATATACACACACATCTAGGACAAATACTATTTTGTGAATGCAAGCTTGGTGTTTCAATCAACATTCATGCATGCGTTCATAACATATATCAGTAAATGAATGAAGAATAGTTGCTTGTCGCAACTCCAAACAAAATATTTGAGTACGAGAAGAAGATACATGTGTGTGTACTCCGTTAGGATCAAAATGTAACGTTAAAAACTTAAAAGAAAATAATGTTATAAAGGCCAAAGGTCAAGGTTGGGATTGTGAAAACTCTAGACCAAAGCTCACAAAATGCGTTCCTTTGGCCTAGGACTATGAAAGATTTTACGCCGTTAGATGATCATAATGCCCTTTGACCTTTTTACCAGAATCCAACGGTTAGAAACACGTTTTGGCGTTCTCCTCCAATTAATGACCCAAATCTTTGAGATAATCGCCAATTAGGGACGCAATGCTTCCTAATTAATCAATAGATTTCATCATCATTAAGAAAAGCTATAGACAATTCCCAGAACGCCCTTCACGCCTGATCGCATAACGCGTATTTTAAACACAATGGAAACAACAATTGCATTTAAAAAACCCAAAAATAGAAAATGGGAACTAATCCTATTTTGGCATATTTAAAATTCTAATTAAGGCCATGTTTGATTAGTAAAAAAAATGTATAACCCTCTTCCCCAAATACGCAGAAGAGTATAAATATTCAATGAAAGAATAAAATCTTGTTTATTTTTACTCACCCAACCTCCCCCGAAAAAAAAAACAATAAAAAAAAAAAAGCAAATGACAAAACAAACACCTCTGCTTCTCTATCTACAGCACCTCGGGAGGGGACAAAACTAATCTTCTGTATTGTCCGGTAACGAGCACTGGTGAAGAATCTAAGGCATCTCCCCAACACCAATCAGTTATCACAGTTCAAACCGCAGATTTCCAGGACAGGACCATCTTTGGAGACGAAGGGGTTGATCCTGACCCACAGAAGTGTAAGAATGGAGGCGAGAAGGATGGACCAGACGAGGATAATGGTCGGCATCCTGTCTTGCTTCCCAAGCAGCCCCTTGAGGAACGGGTACAGATGGATGATGACCCACAACGCGAAGAACAGTCTCCCGAAGAGAGGGCCCCACGAGTCATACCCGTTGTTGATTGCGTCGGAGACTCCGACTATCACTCCGATGATGTTAACGATGAGAAGGGTCATCGGTGGGATCAGAAGGGAAGTCCATTTGAAGATGTAAAGCTCTGAGAATTCTCCGTCGTCTGCTGCTTTGGAAGTAACGGTGAAATTTGTGTTGACACCAGCAAGAACCTTGAGGAGACCTTGGAAGAGTGCGAACAGATGGGAGGAGACTCCTCCGATCACCCAAAACTGCTCGTTTCTCCACCAGTCATCGATCCCGACTTTGCCCCATTGCATCTCGAGAATTCCCGTTACAGCAATGGACAAGAAGAGGGCCATGAACAGGATACTGGCATAGTTACTGATCTGCAAAAATAAAGAAAAATGCCCAAGAGCCCTTTTTTTTTAGTTATACGCTCTAAAATCGTATTTGACATGTAAGAATGCAAGAAAGATTCAAACTTGGAAGAAGCAAAAAAGGCTATTACTCACCTCAGGAACGATGAATTTGCCGGTGAGAAGACAGATAGCAGGGAGAGAACAGTAAACGAGAAGAGGGATGGAGGTCCATGGATAGACGACAGAGTTTATGTAGGAGAATCTTTCCAGCCATTTCAATCCACCTCCATAACCATACCAGATAGGGCAATGTCTGCTCAAGAAAATCTCAACCGACCCAAGCGCCCACCGAAGAACTTGATGGAGACGGTCCGAAAGGTTGATGGGTGCTGATCCCTTGAAAGCTGGCCTCTTTGGCATACAGTAAACCGATCTCCAGCCATGACAATGCATCTTGAAACCCGTAAGAATATCCTCAGTAACCGAACCGTAGATCCACCCGATCTGGATTTTTTTTCACAAGCCCATGAACTTACAATCCACTGGATGAAACACAAGAAAGAATAAAGACAAGTTTTCTTTTAGTTCAGATAGCTTAGCTTTACCTCTTTCCCCCATTCGGTTTTATCTTCGTATCCACAGCTAATGACTTGGATGGCCTCTCTAAGCAGAGATCCCGGACTTCCTATCCTAGCAATCCCACCATCTTCCATGACGGTAGATGCAACGAAAACAGGGGACTGCCCGAACTTCTTCTCCAACTTCATTTGCATTGCCTCGGATGATTTCTCTAGCGAGAAAAAAAGGAACAAAATCGGCAACGGACCTACATAAATTTCGAAAAACAAACGAAACAACCTGTTTTTTTTCTTTACCCTCTTCAATGTTTTCCAAGGCATGAATCTGCTTCTCCGAGGCTTCTCTGTTCTTCGTTTTCTTATCCTTGGTCTTTGACTTCCGGTTCTTTCTTAATCCGCAGCAGAGGCAACACCACTTTGGCCAGCAATTGCATGTCTTACCCGGCAGCTTCTTCTTCTTTGGTGCATCAAAACCGTAAAGTGCCTGCCTCCTGAACACACACCCTGTTCCGACATATATGGGACCTTGTAGCCCATCCAATCCTTTCATGTTAATCTGTTTCCATGATTAAAGAATCAGTAAAGATCCCACAAGACTCAAGAAATAGATGGAGCAGAGAATGTAACAGTTTACATCGAAAAAGACGACGTTGCGATTTGAGTATCGATCATGTCGATCTATCCCATCGAATCTTTGAGGGAACTGAACGTAACAAATTTTCTTTCCGGACTGAGGATCCATCATGAAACACATTGCTTCTCTAAGAGCTTTGCAATTGTTGATGTAGTGGTCACAATCCACATTCAGCATGTAAGGAGCATTTGAGAGAACCCCCGAGACTCGTATCTGAAACGAGATCATATAATTACGAGTCAGGAAAACTTAATGACCCATGAAACCAAATTCAGAGTAACCTTTGAAAGTCGAGGCATTTTCTTACAAGGGCATTCATGGCTCCAGCCTTCTTATGGTGGTCAAATCCGGGTCTCTTTTCACGAGAAACATAAACCAGCCGAGGCAACTCGTTATTTTCTACATCACGACCCCCATCTTGTCCAAGGAAGACCTTTTATCGAAACACGAGAAAGATAATGGTTAAGTATTTACATCAGAACTTAACTCACGTCTTCTTATGATGAATCCATATAGAGAGGAAGAGACAGAGATACAGAATCTGACCTGAATCATGCCCGGATGGTCTCGGACATTGTTACCAGGCCACGGAGTACCATCTTGCATCGTCCAACCTTCCTCGGGCACCTTTTGTGCAGTAGCAACTAATCCGTTTATTCTAACCTTGAATTCTTCATAGTCTCTCTGCATCAACAGAAACAAAAATATCGTGAATAAATACGTCTAAAGCTTTACTCACGAAAACGATTATTAAAAGAAGCAGAGGAACTAATAACCTTCATGGCACGTCGTTCCCTGACGAATGCTGGATGAACTTTGTTCTTCAAGTAGTCCATTTTCTGATTAAAATACCACTCGGGGGCACGTGGCTCGATATTGTATTTCTTACAGAAAGGGACCCATTGCCTCGCAAATTCTGCTGTCTCGGACAGGGCTTCAAAGGTAAGCATGGCAGCACCATCATCGGATACATAACATGCAACCTTATCAACTGGATAATCAACTGAAAGGATAGACAGGACAGTGTTTGCTGTAATAAGGGGAGGTTCCTTCATCGGGTCCACTGTACTGACAAAAACATCCACAGCGGCTAATTCCGAGGGTTTGCCTTCTTTCTCGTACCTTGGAAAAAAAATGAATGAAAGAAATGAATCGGGCAGACAATTCTAAAAAGAGAGGCATGTCCAAGAGTGTATTAGCTTTTGCATACCTCAACGACAACCGGTCCAAGTATGTTTCTCTCTCTATAGGGTACCATTTCGGGAATTGATCGAGAACCCATGACACAGCGAACCATATTTCACAAATCACGGATATCAACCACAAAGGATATGCATCATTAACTGGGTGAAGGATCCGATAGTGAAAAAAGAGACCAAGAATCACAAGGCGCAGAATAATTAACATCCTGTATGGATTGATCTTGCTCGACTTGATCGGTAACTTCCTAGACAGAGGCTGCCTGCCTTCGTCCATCCTAAGTTACAGAGAATAAGAAAAAACAAACATGATGTGTTAATATTCACGGGCACGAAGCATGAAAGGAGAAAGATACTAAAACATAATGAAGTTCAAAAGATGAATTTTTTTCTTACATGGGCAAATCAGAATCAGCATCACCTCCTTCATGTTTAACCACTTGAAGCTTTTCATTTTGTTTCCTCTTCCACTCTTCCATACGGTCCTTCCATGCAACGCTTCCATATCCATAAACCGCAATATCTTTCTGAGGTACCATAGGTCTCGGATGGGCTGCAATAAACAAACACAAACTCCGTAATCAAAACGAAAGAGAAAAACGACAATAAAAAAAATGCCACAGACCCATAAGACGTACCAGCCACAGATGGGTCGGGGAATGACACCGGATGAACCTTAGTGCCATGCCCCAATGACGGAGGAACAATAAGTGCATGTCTACCAGATGAGATCTCAATGTCCTAAAAAACCAACCAAAACAAATCATTATATAGGCACCTGGACAAAGCCAATGGACAAACGATCAGTGGAACGAGGAAAATGTGAGTTACCTCCTCGTCATAAGTCAACAAGGGAATCTGAGAGCCAGGCGGAGCAGAATCCAAGTCGGATTGAGGAATACCCGAGTTGAGATGAGAAGAGAGTATACCTTCAGAAACTTGATCAGTTCCCACACCATTTTTGTAATCAAACTCATTATCGAGATCATCTATGCCATCTTCTTCCTCATCGCCTTCCACCCGTGGACTTCCTGAAATAGTTTTTCAGTAAAATCCTCAACTTGCCATCACTACTAGGAACTTCTGAGAGCTGTAAAACCTCAGCATAATCCCAACCTGGATCTTAATATCCTCGCAAGTCTAAGCAAAGAACTCGGCTAAAACTGACTATATTCTATAATCCAGACACTAAGAATTCACGAAAAGATTCTCACTTTAGCAGAGATTCTGAAACGAGCTTTCAGTTAAAATGCTCAGAAAGGTTTTCAACAAATTAAGTGATCACCTTTAATGCGTTTGTATCGGGTTTTGCATTGTGGACAAGCTTGGTTTCCCTCTCTTCGCTCGTACTCAAAGCAAGGCCGACACACAGGGAAAGCGCATTCATTGCATGCCACGAAAGGATCTCCATCTACCGTCAGCTCAATCTCATCACCACAAATTTGACATATCTGCCCACTCAGTTCTTGCACCGACCTTATCTGCCATAGAGGAATACACCAAACAAGCCAACAGAGTGAACACCAGATCTAACTATGAACTGGCAAATCCTATTCCTTGCTTATACACACTCATTACATTGAAAAGTCTCCCCCTGTATTTACAACAGACTGTAATGCAGATTGAAAATTTTAAGGAATACAAGCACGTTGCGTCTATGTTTAGAACCATTAAATATGCCCTTTGATTTCACCTTAACACCAATCAGATTTTGTGTATCTCCACAGTTTCAGGAGATTATGAAACAACTTCACTCTTCAAACTGACAGAACAGAGTAAAACACAAGAATGCCCTAACCCCATCAACCAGAAGTAACAGTTGCCTGTTGAAACTTTCCTATCGCCATCGGAGTTTCACGCAAAAACGACAATATTAAGATATCCCGACAAGAGATGAGATTTGGGATTATCCTGACAAGAGATTAGACAATCAACACGCTTGAACGCGGAATTCAGAGAAGTCAGTCCCCAAACAGTTCCCACCGACACAAATAGTTCACTGTAGAATTTGCTAAAAGTCTGTGAAAGCTTTGGATTGCACGAAAACCCTAATCGATTTCAACTGGTGAAAACCCAGATCCAGTAAAAGCCAAAACCTTTGCAGCAAAATGATGGAAATGGGTATACGACAGAACTGAAACACAAGGAGAAAAACAAAGGGATTCTTACTCTGGCATTCTCATCCGCATTAATCAGGACGAACTCGTTCCTGTTGTGGGAACCGGCAATGAGCCGACCGCCGGTGTTCATATCTCCGACAACGAGGCTGGAACTAGGATTCACGGATTAACGGACAGAGCCAGATAGATTAACAGAGATAGACCGGCGATTCTGCAACCGGGTCAACTCAGCCCAACTCGGTTCCGAGAGATCTAGTCGTTTCAACTCCCATCACAGAGGAACCAACCCCCAAACAACATGCACTAACCAGCGTCAGAACCGAATCCAAGACAATGGATGCCGGATTTTCTCGAACGCACGCAATGAACAAAAGAATGTCCTTTTTATTTTATTTTTTTCTTTCGAATTGATTCAGCTGCAAGACAAATCTCCTCTGTCCCCTCAACGTGCACGATTCACATAAATAAAGGAAGAGAATTTCAGAAAGAGAGGGAGAGAGAAGAATAACGACTGCAAAAAAATATCCAAAAGACGAGCAACGAAGATGGAGAAGAGAGAGAGAGAGATTAGACTGATTAGTGAAATACATAGATTTATCAATGCAAAGAGGAGTGACGAAAACCCATTTAAGTAACCCAAATAAAAAAAAATTAGAGAAATTATAAAACCACAAACCGACAAAAAAGATTAAAAAGGAAAATCCATCGGGAAGAGCTCGTGAAAAGCATCATCTAAAACAGGAAAAAAGAATCTATATCATCATTTTCTCTAATAAAAATAATTTAATCTTATGTAAACTGCATCCTCGTGATCACTCTACCAAAATATTTATTTACTTGATTAAATAAATTAAATTTCGGTACGAGTTTGGAGGCCTCGTTAAATATCTTTTTAAAAAAATACAAAAACGAAGATTTTTATACGGCATGGAACATGAGTTTTGGTTCTGCTCTGTCGTAATAAATTCTTCTCATGTCTTGTTTCGGATATCTTATTTTCAATGTATTTCCTTATTTTTCATTCCTTTTATTTTATTCCATTTTTATTATACTTGAAACCCGGTCTCACTGAAAATTATATTAAGAAACATGAGCAGCATCAACGTTTTTTGTACGGAACACTTCATGTTTTTTTTTACTTATCTTTGTTGACTGCAATGGTTTAACTTTTTTTACCTATTTAATTATTCCCTATATTTTTTTTATAAATGCAATCATTTTTAACGCCATAACCGCGAATTTCCTGTATTTTATAAATAATAAAAAAACTATTAAAGCCAAAAATGCGTTGAACTCTTCTTCGGATGATTTGTTTGGGTTTTGGTTCGGATTCAACTTAATTATATTCAGATTTGATTATTTCAACTTTTAAAAAAAAATTATAACCGTTCAATTTTTATTTGAATTTGGTTCGATTCGGATTCGGATTCCATTCGAATTCTAGTTCGTTTTTTTCGGTTTTAAAAAAATCATAAGCAGTTTGATATTTAATTCAGTTTAATTACAATTATACATTATTCAATTCGGATGGGATTGGTTATCGGAATTGACCGGTTGGGTTCCGGATCCGAGTCATCGGGTCTAGTATGATCCGATGTGACTTTTTAACTTTATTTTCTCAAAAAGTATGAATAAATGGATAGGTGAACCATCTAGTACCTAACAACCATATTTTACTAAACCCTAACGGCTATCGATTTAATTTGTATATTATAAATGCTTATGAAACAGATGGTTTTTTATGTAAATTAAATGGTATTGATTTTTGTTAATTAAAAAAACAGATTTTTTTCTCTAAAATTGTAATCTCACTTAAATGAATTTTTTTTTTAATCGGATCTTTTTGCAACTTGTTTTTTTTTTATGGGCATGCATATATAAATCTGTGTATACAAGAGGAACGATGTGCCATTGTCGAGAATACCGTATCGTGCACATCAATATACGTATATGTCTACATATATACATTTGCCGACAGCTGATTTTATAGAGATAATATTTAAAAAAAAAAATAGATCGTAGAAATGATATTTTTGCCTTTAATATGTTGTCCCGTGGACAGGCGATTAGACAATAAATGACAATACAGTACACAATAATTTGTTCGTTATATTAAAAATAAAATGAAATAAATACGACTTTAGTTAGGTTACCACATCAGATGTCCTTTTCACGTTAGATGACTTGTCTTTGGTAAGCCTTCGTGCCACGTCTTCTCATAGAAACTGTCGGTGCCTCGTTTGTTTTTTTATTTTTTATTTTTTTTATGCGGAAATTGTGAAAAAAAAAATGGGCATCAGATATTTGGGATATTTCTGCACTATATTATATCCTAATTATTCGTTTGAATTTTAGCGGAACATATTAATCATATGTGACGTAAATCCGGCTTTACACATCATTCATCTAGCATATGTTAAATCTAAGAAATAAATAACATTAATAGGAAGAAACTAGCCGAAGTCGTGAAAGTTATAAATAATGATTATTGATGCAATATCTTATGATTGGTCTTTCTAATGTGTTTAATCATGGAATCTAAAATAATCAGCTGATCAAATGAACTTTATTTAATTTTTAATAATAATAATAATACTGCAATTTGAGAGTAACTAAAAAATATCATAACGGCATTTTGTGGGATTAAGACGAGAGAAATGTGAAAACACATGATAAGATTGGTCAATGGACCCCCTCTCTCTCGTTTTCCAGCTAATGAAAATCTCCATTCATCGATCCAATCAAATCGCTTTTTCTTTAAAAAAAAAAAATCAGTAAAAATCTCCATCAGTTAAAAGAGGAGAATATTTTCAGCAACTCCATCTCGCCTATTTTGATTATTAATCGCATAATTGAATTAAATCTATATAAAAACTGAATGGTTATATCTTTTCTAGATTCGAAAAAATAGAATCTAATTGAATTAAAAAAAAATAACAAAAAAACCTTTTTTTAAAGGAGTTTTTTTTGTAATAAAAATTCGGATCCAAATCGAATTAAATGAAAATTGATATAAAAATGGAATGAGTATAATTTTATAACCGAACTCCAATATATCCAAACCTAAACCGAAATGGCCGTAAAGAAAATCTTTGGGAATGGGCTTTATTATCTAACGGCCCAGTCAATATATTTCCAATGGACCGTTGCGCTCACGTGCGGACCACGTGATTGAGGACTAATTGGTAAGGGATCACGAGTTTGGGCCTCGGACTCTTTTTCATTAAACAGGCCGACGATATATCATTGATTATTTAAAGGGTTTACGTTAGATGTAAAACTACACACGTTTCGAATTTCGTCACCAGTTTCTAGGAATTGCTCTGTCATGGCTGATGAACATGAGGCCACAAATGGCCGCGTGGTGATGACGTGACAAAGAGAATGAAAAATTACAATCACACGATTTTTCAATAACTCAAAAATCCAAACTGATTCTATTTCTCTGATACGAGTCAAGTACACTTCAACCTTTCCAAGTAGCACTCAACTCACCCAGTCTTACTCCCCCTGAGTAAGACTTCCCGTATCACAAAAAATTCTATCAGCAACACACACTATGTGTGCAACGCACACCCCGTGTCACCCTAGACAGCGTCTAGGCCTACCGAGCGGTTCGTCTGTTATTTAAGACTCCCCCTCAGATAAAACTCACGTTCACTCAGAAATCTCTCACCAGTGTTTCCCGTACATGTGCTCTCACCGAGATTACAGACTCTGCTCTGCACAGAAAACCTAATCTCACCAACTCTTGACAATCACGTCTTCAGTCCATATATCCTTCCGTCCATTGATTCTCTCCATATCTTCATAATATGCATTTTTACTTTTCTTCATTGATGCAACTGTCTTCTTTCCTTTTGTAGCTTCTTTCCATTTGTGTTTTCCAGATTCAGCTCCAAACTTCCATTTGTTGATTTGAAGCTTCTAGATGTTGAATATGATGTTTCCTTGCTTTAACAGAGAACACTTGATTTAGACGAAAGCTAGTAAAAGAGAAGGTTCTTGTTCTTGTGTATAGTACCTGAAGGAATCAACAGAGGGATTTTAGGCGTCCCGTCGGTGAAAAAAAATCAGAGATCGAACGTCTGGTAGAGCAGTTGAGGTGTCGGAATCCGAAACCGGAGCCGACCGGAGACCTGGGCAAGTTCCGAGGTTGCTGGAGGCTTCTTTATAGCACGATCGCTGTCTTGGGATCCAAACGAACCAAACTCGGTCTCCGAGGTTTTGTCTCTGTCGGAGATATTCTTCAACAAATCGATGTCACTCAGGTACGAATGATGATCTTTTTTCCCGCAAACCTCCTAATGTCGATTGGAGCGGAGGGAAAATCTATCCATCTGATGAAGTTTAACGTCCGTGGACTGAATCTGATTGACGGTGCCCTAAGGATCGATGCCTCCTTCATGGCAGTGTCTGAAACGGTACCAAAAAACGCCACGTTCTGCTTTTAGACGAGATTTTCATTGGACGAGTCAAAATTTTATATCAGAATTTGAATCTAATAAATAAACTGCCAAATATTTACATATAATACTTATATATATATATAATATATATTTGTTCTTAAAAAGTTGCTCAGCCATCATGGCTGGCCAGGTACCGTAACGTTTTGTCTGGGTAAATTCGGTAAACGTTACCTTGTAATATTGTTGGGCAATTAGTTACTGTTGAAGTTTTTTTCAGAGATCTTTTTGTAAATTATTCTCCATTTTTTCTGCCAAACTTAATATTTATGGTTTTTTAAAATGTTACAAAAAAATTTAATCCTATTCCTGCATTGTAACATATTTTACACAAAACAAGAACAAAAACCCTCTACCTATTTTTTTTCTTCTTTTTTGTAATTCAAACTGTTCTAAGACATCAGTTTGAAATATTATTATTATGGTGAGTTAATTCTATTCTAAAAGGATATATTCCATTTAATAATAGGTACCGAATAAAAAATAATTCTTTTAAAGAGACACGGTTTACAACGGATTCGGATTTATCTTTTCGATTTTGAAAATTATATTGCTATATTGAGATTTTTTATCATAAATTTTTGTATCGTTATTGGACTTACACGTTTTTTGTATCTATATAGATATCGAAATTATCTTTCTAATGATAGATCGAACACTGATTGTATACTCTAAAAGTTATAATATTCAAAAATTTTGTATAGAATTGAAAATTAATCATTTATAAATATAAAATATATAAAATAACACATCCAATAGCTACTAATGGTATAGGATCCGACTCTTTTAAGATACAAAGGTTACTAATGGTGTAGGATCCGAATCTTTTAAAATACAAAGGATTTGAATGGAAGAAGTTTTTAGAGTTTTTAAAATTAATTTGACAAGGGAATGGTTGCTTGAATGATGACAAGGGTAATTATCTTTGTACCGGAGAGAAACAGAGAAACCATCAAAGCCTAAGGAGGTTTTTTTTTTTTAACTTTTTTCAAAACTATAATTACCTAAGCGAATCGTAATATCCTTTGTGATGTTGATGACCTGCAAAAACAAATGGCAGCATTGGAAGAAAAAGGATACAGATGAGCAAACAA